AGCTGGAAGACTAGCTTGAAATAGGTAGCTATAAAAGTATCGTGATGAGTTCAGACTTAACATGAACTACAGCTAGGAAGTGGCCTAAGCTAACGAGTAAGCAGTAGTCTAAAATTCAATAGGCTCTCTGCTATCTCTGGTTAAGACTATAATAAGACTAACTTTATGAACTGTTAGATAACAGTACTTAATATTATATGTGACACAGTTAGCTTTAAAAATACTGACATTTCAAAAGTTCTGTAACTATTTTAACATGGCTAACTGCTAAAGAAAGCTAACACTAATGGTACTCTTATGTCGAGCTAACCACAGAAGGTAGCTAAGATAAAGTCAGGTAAAGCTAACAGCTTGTTTCTAATCTGAAAACAGTCGACGATCGCTTAGTTTATAGCATGATTGCTAAATGCTAATGTTACAGTAGTGGGTTTGATCGTGCCCAGTACTGATATTGTCAAAGAAATTATTTATTTTTTTTTTTTTATTTTTTTTTATAGTTTACTTAGTTTTAGTTTTATTTATTTTTTTATGCTTTTAGTTTTGCTTTAGGGGGCGGGGCCTCTGCCAGTCTTCCATTGTGGGGCACTCACCCAAATGTGAGCTACTTGCTAACAGTTAATAATGTCCCAAAAGAAGCAGCAAGGACAAAGTGTGGTTCAGTTCAGCTCTGCTCGTCTCCAACTGTCCTTATTATGGTAAACACCTTCATCTCGCCGCTGATGAAGAGGAGGATGTCGTCTCTGTACAGTTTTTACTCATGTCCTTGTGGTTTAGGTCAATCATGTGACCTGGCTTTGTGATCACCTGATCGCACCTTTGTCACGTGTGCAGCTGAAGGCGATTGGGTGGTTTCTGTTGCATGCTGGGACGTTTTTCACCTTGTAAAGGTGGCCCGACTGTTGTGTACAAATATATCCTGTAAATAGAAATTTACTGATGATGCTCTGTATATGAGGCCGAAACCTGGGTGTTACTACGACAACAGAGATGTTTGTGTTGCCATGTCAACAATGGGGGGAGGGGGGGGATTTCTTCTCCTGTCAGTGAAGTAAGCAAACAGCTGCTGTACTGTTATTTTATTTATAAAAGTTCGTCTTGACAACAGTGATCAAAGCAATACCTGCTCAGCGTCTCACTCCAACTGCACAAACACAGTCAGGAGGTGCAGCTCAGGTGAAGCAGACTGCTAGCAGCTACAGCCGCCTGTGTCACCAGCCGCCTGTGTCACCATCCACCTGTGTCACCATCCACCTGTCAGGCAGAAGCCACACCCCTAATAATGCAAACAGGTGTCATGAAGGGGCCAGACCCATTGTGTATCAGGCTGTAAACGTGTGTGGGGCTGACTCACTGCTGCCTCTGCTGGACATTAGAGGAACTGCAGCACATCCTGCCATCCTACAGTGGGCGTGGCCTCTGTGTACAGTGATGTCATGAATCTGAGCTGCTGCTGCTTCACTAACCGGAGGAGAAGACTGTGTTTATAATTTAAACTGTAAAGATGAGTAAAGGGGGCTGGTGCTGTGTTCAGGTGGCGTAGGACATCAGCATGCTGACACTACACTAAACACTTGCTGAAGCCTCACTTTGTTTCTCAGTCACCTGAACGGAGCACAACTTGAACAACCTGAATTATGACAAGTAGGCTGGGCCCCGCCCCCTGAACCACCTCCACCAATCAGCTCATCTTAACTGGACTCACCTGAGACCTGAGTGAACCTGATGGGACAGGTGAGGCGGCTTAGAGGTCTCAGAAAGGTGATGATGTACAGATGTTTTCTTCTTCAGGCGCTCGTCTTGTGGCAGCAGCGGGTCACGTGACGTGGGCGGCTGTTTTTCCACTTGAGTGTTTTTGCTGTTTCAGTCATAAAATAAATAGAATGTGGCTTTGATGCTTTTATTGTGTCAACACCGCACACAGGAAATGGTGAAAAACGTGGCCAAAAAACGAGAACACCATCAGCTGATTGTGTTCATACTGTAAATGTTTCCTATGTTTTCTGTTTTTCTCTCCTTGGTGTTTTTTTTTTTGTGTTTCTGTGAATAAAGTAGAAATATTTGTCACAGGTGAACGTCTGCAGCTCTGTTCCCGGGTCAGGACGCTGCGACAGGAAGTGCAGTCTAATATAATATAACACCGATTTGTGACTGAAAGTACTCATGACTCCTCTGGAGAACAATAATCATGTTTCACGGTAGGATTTCGTGACATCTTTTCAAAGTATGTTTGTAAATCAAGCGACAGCGTGTCACATCAGGGCCGTTTACGAAGAACAGTCTAACTTCACATTCTTTAACGACACGCCGTGTGTGCTCTCATTGATGCTGTGGTGTCCTGGAGTGAGGTTAAACAGCGTCCTCACAGGAAGCCCTGAGGCCCCAGATAACATTGTGCTTTAAACTCTGTCATATCATTCCTTATCAGA